AAAACCAAAAAATTGAAAATTAAAAAATAATTGGAAAATTGCAAATACAGAATTTGGAAAATAGAAAAATTGAAACATACCTAGAAACTGAAAAATTGAAAAACTGGAAAACGAAAATCAAAAATTTAATAATTCGAAAACTGGAAGAAAGCAAAAATTACATCATCTAGAAAATCAAAAATTAAAAAATTCTGCCAATCGAAAAAGTGAAAAGTCAAAAAATTGGAAAATCCAAGTGTTAATTAAACAAAAATTACATTTTGTTCCTAGTAATTGAAATATCGAAAAATTGAAGAAACAAAAAATTGAAAAAACAAAAAATTGCTAAAACGAAATATTGAAAATTAAAAAATAAAGAATTGCAAATCAAAAAATTAAAAAATTCAAACGCTGAAAAATAGAAACACTGAACTACATCTCGAAACTGAAAAATTAGAAAATTTAAAATTTGAAAAATGGCAAAAACCAAAAAAAAATCAATCAGTTTGAAAAATTGAAAAATTGAAAATTAAAAAAGCAAAAAACTCGAAAGTCGAAAATTTAAAAAAATAAAAATCAAGATGTTGCAAAATAAAAAATTTAAAAATCAAAAATTAAAATACATATCTAGAAACTGCAAAAACCTACAAATGAAAAATCAGAAAATTCAAAACCAAAAATTTAATAATTCGAAAACTGGAAGAAAGCGAAAATTACATCATCTAGAAATTAAAAAAATAAAAAATTCTAAAATCGAAAGATTGATGAAACAAAAATTTAGATGTTTTATTCCTAGAAATTGAAAAAACGGAAAATTAAAATAACTAGAAATAGACGAAAAATTGAATTGCCAATTGAAAATTTAAAAAATAAAAATTTTGAACTTGCAAAATAAACAAATTTAAATTCAAAAATTGCAATATCTAGAATCTGAAAAATTGAAAAATCGGAAAATTGAAAAAACAAAAAATTAAAATTTGTATACGAGTATATCCGAAAACTGAAGAATCAAAAAATGGAAAATTTTAATTCTAGGAACTATAAAATGTAAATATTGAAGAAACAATAAATTGATAAAACGAAAAATTGGAAATTAAAAAATAACTGGAAAATTGCAAATCAAAAAATCAAACATTGAAATACATCTAGAAACTGAAAAATTGGAAAATCTGAAATTTGAAAAAAACAAAAATTTAAATATGTATATTTTATCTAACTCAGTCAATTGGAAAATCGAAAAATCGAAAAATGGAAAAACTGAAAATTAAAACAAAAACACGAAAATTAAAAAAAAAAGTTGCATAATAAAAAAATTAAAAACGAGAAACTGCAAATTCTAACAAATGATAAATTCAAAATCCAGAAAAATTCGAAAAGTGTAAAAAAGCAAAAATACAATATTTTGCTTCTAGAACTTGAAAAATCGAAAATTTGAAGATCCAGATGAAATCGAAAAACTGAAAAATTTAAAATTGAGAAACTTCAAAATGCGAAAATGAAACGACGAAAAATTGTTAAAATATTTCGCTATTCGATTTTTGAATCCGCCTTCCGATTTTACGTTTTTCAAAATTTCAGAGATTGAAAAAATTTGTTTTTTGATGAAAATTTGAAAATTAAAAATTAACCGAAACGAATAATAAAACAACGAGAACTCGAGAAATTAAGTAAATAAAAATTGCATAATGATAAAATTAAAAACTGGAAAAACTGCAAAAAGAAAAACTGTTTCCAAATTCAAAAAATGAAGAATCAAAAAATTAAAAATCTAGAAACTGAAAACAAATATTAGTAATAAACAATAAATAGAATTTATTTTCAACAGACAATAATAATAATAATAATTCTATAGCAGATACGTAGCGCAAAATTACATATAATACGACAAAAAACCAAAATTTCTGGATATTAAAATATCCGGAGAATGCAAAATGAAAAAACTGTAAATCGAAGAAACAAAAAACTGAAAAATTCATAACAAAATAAAATAAAAAAATTGCGGACCGAAAAAAATTCAAAAGGCGAAAAATCGAAAAAAATCTAGAAACTGTAGAATCAAAAAATTACAAAATCCAGAAATTAGAAAATTAAAAAATCGAAAAATTGAAAAAGCAAAAAATTTGAAACTGAAAAATCGAAAAGTGAATAACTAAAAGGAAAAATTTTAAAATCAAGAATCTGCAAAATCTAAAAATTGATAAATTAAAATATCTAGAAATTGAAAAATTCATGACGTAAATAACGAAAAATTGCAAAACTATAAAACCGCAAAATTCCAAATATTTGAAAATTTGAAAACCGAAAAATTGCAGATATAAATCGAAAAACTGACAAAACGAAAAATTAAAACATTTAACAACTAAAAAATTGAATAAAAAAAATGTGTGTATGCACGGTATCAAGAAAAAAAATTGGTCTAAAGAGTTTAGACAGTACTTCCCTCGCTGTCGGAAACTTGACGACTGCATGCCTATTGTGTTTTTTTTCTCATTACATTTTTGTAGTGGGAATTTAAAAACAAATTGCGATGACGTCATCAACATTTTTGCAAGGACACGTATATCAGTTGGGATAGATGTAGTGTAATACTAAGAATAAAATTATTATATTCTCAAATTTTCGGGAAAATGAATTGGGTCGTTTGAATATTGATTTGTAATAATCAATAAAATAACGAAACAATTTACTCACGTATACCTACGTATCAGAGGCAACTGAAAATCGTGTATGTATAAACATTGTTAATTTAAGATGACAGGCGTAACAGCATACGTGAGAGCCAAACACAGAAACTGTAAACAAAACGACCGTCGGTTTTATTGCTTCGACTTCCGCTTATTATATAAAACATTGGGTTTTATTTTAATTCTTGACGGTGAAATTCACAATTGGTTGATTATAAACATGTCTATTTCATATTCGCGGAATCAAGTGAACGCATAAAACAAATGCAGGTCTGTAATGTTAAAGTCGATGTAAATAAGCGTGCTACCCTTATGTTTCAACCGAGTTTTTCCTTTAACAAATTTTGTGTCTACCAAATTGGGTTGGTTGGGGTGTAATACTAATAATAAGTGTTGCCTTTAATTTAATCAATAAAATAAATTGACTTCATTAATTTTTTTGAACCACCTCTTAAGAAAATCTAAAAAATATGAATGGAATGATAAATCACAAGTACAAACTCATCATATTTTTTGCATTTTAGATAGGATTTATTCAGCAAAATTTAAGGGTGACGTCATCAATTTTTTTAGGAGGGGTGAACAAATACATTTTGAACAAAAGTTTACCATGCTTATAATAACTTTAAAATATTCCCAAGATTTCAAAGCATTCGGTTTTGTAATTCCTGATTAAATCGATAAAATAAATTCACGCCTTCATTAATTTTTTTGAGTCACCCTGCATATGCAAATCCAAAAATATGAATGGAATGATAAATCACAAGTACAGACTCATCATATTTTGTACATTTTAGATACGATTTATTCGGAAAACTTTTGAGCTGACGTCATCAGTTTTTTGTAGAAGATAACCAAATATATTTTGACTAAAAATTTATTATGCTCTTTATAACCTTAAAACATCTGCAAGATTTCAAAGCATTCGGTTTTGTAGTTCCTGATTAAATCAATAAAATAAATTTACGCATTCATTAATTTTTTTGAGTCACTCTGTATATGCAAATCCAAAAAATATGAATGGAGTGATAAATGACAAGTACAGGCTCATCATATTTTGTACATTTTAGATATGATTTATTCGGCAAACTTTCGAGCTGACGTCATCAAGTTTTTGGAGGGGATAAACAAATATATTTTGACTAAACATTTATTATGCTCTTTATGACCTTAAAACATCTGCAAGATTTCAGAGCATTCGGTTTTGTAGTTCCTGATTAAATCAATAAAATATATTTACGCATTCATTAATTTTTTTGAGTCACCCTGTATATGCAAATCCAAAAAATATTAATGGAGTGATAGTTCACAAGTACAGACTCATCATATTTTGTACATTTTAGATATGATTTATTCCACAAACTTTTGAGCTGACGTCATCAAGTTTTTGGAGGGGATAAGCAAATATTTTTTGACTAAAGATTTATGATGCTCTTTATAGCCTTAAAACATCTGCAACATTTCAAAGCATTCTGGTTAGCAGATTAAAAATTAAATTTCAAAATGTTGTTTTATAATTTTGATTTTTTTTCCAAAAATCTGGACGTTTCGGGTGAAAATTCGATTCAGAGTTGTAAACTACATGTGTAGGACTATGTTATTTTATACAATTGAAAACCCATTTACTATGTACAATTTTGAAGTGACGTCATCGCTTTAGTGGTGGGAATGATTCGACAAATTTTGGTTAGCGTTTTACCATCTACATGATATTCTTAATATAAGTACAAAATTTCACAACAATCGGTCCAGTACTTTCGGAGATTATCTGTCTAATAAAAATCCGTGACAACAGACGGACAGACGGACAGACAGACGGAAATGGGAGACCTATTTCTTCGTCTTCTAGGGGTCATGAAAGATCGAGAAAACGTAAAAGTAGAGAGTCGGCCGACGGACTCGATTACAATACTTTCTTTGCTTACGCTCGGGAAGTAAAAATCAGTAGAAGCAATAATATTCGAATGATGCCGATGTGCTTTGTTGTGCTTGGTCACCACGGATGTATTTTTAACTATTGTTGTAATTATTTATTAATACACTGAAGGTTTATCGAACTCTTTCTTATCTTATCCAGTGGCACTGAACCAATAAAATTTAAAATCACAATTTATGATTCCAGTAGTAATATTTTGTTTTTCATTTACAATACAGCAATAAATAATAAACCAAACAGCAAAAAAAAATCAAATTCTCTTGATTAAAATTTGTAAAACAACATGTTTCGTACGCCATCATCAGTCAACACTTGATGACAACTGACTATTAACTATCCTTAGAAAGGAACAACAGGAACAGGAACAGGACCAGTGTCAGGGCATCAATCAAACCCACCAATCACTCATCACAATGAGCGAACACGTGTTTCGCAACAGTTTATTAATAACAATAACAAATGCCATATAAATAAAATATTTGTGCCGTGGGAATCACCAAAGAATTTAAAAAAACCGCAAGTCGTTAAGTGCCAATAAGTACGTACTTATCGTTCCTACAAACCAAGAAACTACAAATCAAGCAGCCCGCACCTAATCATTCGGTGCGCTCCTTCTCCTCCTTCTTCGACTTCCTGAAAACGAGCCTCAAAATGGGCGCGTAGACCACCGGCCACAACAGGAACGTCAGCGACCCTACATGGTACACGTTGCTGAAGGCGCCCCAGTACCTATCGAACTTCAAAAGGGCGAAAGGCATCAGACACCAACCCATGAACACCAGCGTGTACAACCTGAGTAAAACATGAACGACCGTCGACACCGTAGGGTCCCCGAAAAAGCCCGACAGGGTGTTGTTCGCTTTCACGATGGATTTGAGCTGGAAGGACCTAGTTATGAGAAAATTTAGCAAAAGGGGGTGCTTACGTCTCGTTCCATGTACACCACCATGAATTCGAAGAAGAAACAAACGTAGTAACCCGAATGGAATCCGTGCCAGACGGCCAAAAACCCGAGGGTCGCCAATTGACTGATTTGTCGATTCCCGAGGAACTTCAAACGCTTGTAGATGTACTGACCCGACCAGTGGTTCGTGTTGATGTTGAACGACTGGATATAGTGAGTGAACTCGGTGGTGTTCTCGAACGTGGACAACTTCACGTTTTCGACCCCGTTCCAAATCGGCGTCCCGTCTTCCCCCTTACCGTTGTAAGCCAACCCTGGAACACTCACAGTTCCTTTGCAACTCACCAACAACCACCTCATCACCTACCGAAGACAATGCAAGCCCCCTCCGTCAGCAACCAGCACGATATATACTTATACATGGTGAACCTTCCCCAGGCCCCCATCAGGAGCATCTTCTTGACAAAGCCCACCTCCCCGAACTCCTCTGAGTACATGTATTGATCCGAGACTAGGAGTCCTAGGGCTTGGAAAACCGCGAGGTAGAACACCCCCAGGGCGAATCGGGTGAGTCCGGGTTTGATGTTCGTGGTTGGGGCTGCGTCGTTTTCGCTGAACTTGCCGGCGACGAAGTCCTGGTACCTTTTCATGGGGAATTGGGGGCCTACCATGAAGCTGGCTGGGAATAGGGTGTGGCCGTACATTTCTAGGAGGTTGGGGCATTGTGCCAAGGCGACTTTTTTGTTTTCGGCTCCTAGGCTTTCGGGGGGTTGTTGGCCGTCGTAGTAATCGAAGGCTATGCCGATGAGGCGTAAGACTAGAATGCATTGGGGCATGGTCCAGTTGATGTCGTAACTGTCCGTGCCCACGTAGTAGTAGCCTGGGGATGAAAGGGGTGAGTGAGGGAGAGAACTATATAGAATTGTCAACTTTAGGTTGTCATATCTTTTACAAGGTTTCATCATTTGATCCTTATCATCAACATCATAAATATCACAGCGTGTCTGATTATCTCATGAGATAATAATAAGCAGTCAGGTGAAAAGGACAAAGATGAGCATACAAAATTCTAACTCGAATTTTATTGTATTCGACGTGTTTATTTGAACATTTTTTCAATTTTCCAGATATTCCACTTTTCGACTTTTAAGTTTTTCGATTTTTATTTTGGAATTTTTCAATTTTTCAATTTCTAACTTTTTTAATCTTATAATTTTGCAATTTTTCGATATTTCGATACTTTAATTGTTCGATTTTCAGTTTCTTGATTTTTAGTATTTCGATTTTTCAATTTTCAAATATTTAAATTTTGTTTCTTTTACAATTTTGAAATTTTCGATTTCTCAATTACGTGATTTTTAGATTTCTCGTTTTCTAATTTTTTTTTATTTGTCAATGTTTCAGTGTTCCGACTTTTAGGTTTCTAAATTTTCCATTTTTTCAATTTTTCGACTTTACATTTTTTCGACAATTTTTTTTTTAATTTTTCGATTTTTCAGTTTCTAACTTTTTTAATCTTACAATTTTGCATTTTTTTCCATATTTCGATACTTTAATTTTTCGATTTTCAATTCCTTAATTTTTAATATTTCGATTTTTCAATTTTTTGTTTCTTCAATTTTTCATTCTTCAATTAGCAATTTTCTTATTTTTTATTTTAAATTTTTCGAGTTTTCAATTTTCACATATTTAAATTTTGTTTCTTCAATTTTTCGATTTGCAATTTTCTAGTTTTCAATTCTAAATTTTCCGATTTGCAATTCCCAGTTTTCCGTTTTTCATTTTTTCGATTACTCTCCGAATTTTCAGTTTCGCCATTTTTAATTTAATTTTGTTCAGTTCTTCAGTCTTCCAATTTTTTGGTTTTTCGATTTCGTTATTTCTTTTTTTTTAATTCTTCGTCTCAATTTTTCAGTAATTTATACGTTTTTCCAATGCTTCAATTTTAATTTTTTGGTTTCTTCAATTTTTCGATTTGCAGTTTTCTACTTTTCAATTTTAAATTTTCCAATTTTTCAATTTTACAATTTTGAAATTTTCGATTTCTCAATTCCGTGATTTTTAAATTTCTCGATTTTTATTTTTTTTTTATTTGTCAATGTTTCAGTGTTCCGACTTTTAAGTTTCTAAATTTTCCATTTTTTCAATTTTTCGACTTTACATTTTTTAGAGAATTTTTGTTTTTTTTAATTTTTCGATTTTTCAGTTTCTAACTTTTTTAATCTTACAATTTTGCATTTTTTTCCATATTTCGATACTTTAATTTTTCGATTTTCAATTCCTTGATTTTTAATATTTCGATTTTTCAATTTTTTGTTTCTTCAATTTTTCATTCTTCAATTAGCGATTTTCTTATTTTTTATTTTAAACTTTTCGATTTTTCAATTTTCAAATATTTAAATTTTGTTTCTTCAATTTTTCGATTTGCAATTTTCTAGTTTTCAATTCTAAATTTTCCGATTTTCAATTCCCAGTTTTCAGTTTTTCAATTTTTCGATTACTCTCAGACTTTTCAGTTTCACCATTTTTAATTTAATTTTGTTCAGTTCTTCAGTCTTCCAATTTTTTGGTTTTTCGATTTCGTTATTTCTTTTTTTTTAATTCTTCGTCTCAATTATTCAGTAATTTATACGATTTTTCAATGTTTCAATTTTAATTTTTTTGTTTCTTCAATTTTTTGATTTGCAGTTTTCTAGTTTTCAATTTTAAATTTTCCAATTTTTTAATTATTCAATTTTACAATTTTGCAATTTTCGATTTCTCAATTACGTGATTTTTAAATTTCTCGATTTTTAATTTTTTTTATTTGTCAATGTTTTAGTGTTCCGACTTTTAAGTTTCTAAATTTTCCATTTTTTCAATTTTTCGACTTTACATTTTTTAGACAATTTTTTTTTTAATTTTTCGATTTTTGAGTTTCTAACTTTTTTAATCTTACAATTTTGCATTTTTTTCGATATTTCGATACTTTAATTTTCCGATTTTCAATTTCTTGATTTTTAATATTTCGATTTTTCAATTTTTTGTTTCTTCAATTTTTCATTCTTCAATTAGCAATTTTCTTATTTTTTATTTTAAATTTTTTGATTTTTCAATTTTCACATATTTAAATTTTGTTTCTTCAATTTTTCGATTTGCAATTTTGTAGTTTTCAATTTTAAATTTTCCGATTTGCAATTCCCAGTTTTCCGTTTTTCAATTTTTCGATTACTCTCCGACTTTTCAGTTTCACCATTTTTAATTTAATTTTGTTCAGTTCTTCAGTCTTCCAATTTTTTGGTTTTTCGATTTCGTTATTTCTTTTTTTTAATTCTTCGTCTCAATTTTTCAGTAATTTATACGATTTTTCAATGTTGCAATTTTAATTTTTTTGTTTCTTCAATTTTTTGATTTGCAGTTTTCTAGTTTTCAATTTTAAATTTTCCAATTTTTCAATTATTCACTTTTACAATTTTGCAATTTTCGATTTCTCAATTACGTGAATTTTAAATTTCTCGATTTTTATTTTTTTTTTTTTATTTGTCAATGTTTCAGTGTTCCGGCTTTTAGGTTTCTAAATTTTCCATGTTTTCAATTTTCGTCTTTACATTTTTTAGACATTTTTTTTTTAATTTTTCGATTTTTCAGTTTCTAACTTTTTTAATCTTACAATTTTGCATTTTTTCGATACTTCGATACTTTAATTTTTCGATTTTCAGTTTCTTGATTTTTAATATTTCTATTTTTCAATTTTTTGTTTCTTCAATTTTTCATTCTTCAATTAGCAATTTTATTATTTTTATTTTAAATTTTTCGATTTTCAAATATTTAAATTTTGTTTCTTCAATTTTTCGATTTGCAATTTTCTAGTTTTAAATTCTAAATTTTCCGATTTGCAATTCCCAGTTTTCCGTTTTTCAATTTTTCGATTACTCTCCGACTTCTCAGTTTCGCCATTTTTAATTTAATTTTGTTCAGTTCTTCAGTCTTCCAATTTTTTGGTTTTTCGATTTCGTTATTTCTTTTTTTTTTTAATTCTTCGTCTCAATTATTCAGTAATTTATACGATTTTTCAATGTTTCAATTTTAATTTTTTTGTTTCTTCAATTTTTTGATTTGCAGTTTTCTAGTTTTCAATTTTAAATTTTCCAATTTTTCAATTATTCACTTTTACAATTTTGCAATTTTCGATTTCTCAATTACGTGAATTTTAAATTTCTCGATTTTTATTTTTTTTTTTATTTGTCAATGTTTCAGTGTTCCGGCTTTTAGGTTTCTAAATTTTCCATGTTTTCAATTTTTCGACTTTACATTTTTTAGACAATTTTTTTTTTATTTTTCGATTTTTCAGTTTCTAACTTTTTTAATCTTACAATTTTGGATTTTTTTTCCATATTTCGATACTTTAATTTTTCGATTTTCAGTTTCTTGATTTTTAATATTTCGATTTTTCAATTTTTTGTTTCTTCAATTTTTCATTCTTCAATTAGCAATTTTCTTATTTTTTATTTTAAATTTTTCGAGTTTTCAATTTTCACATATTTAAATTTTGTTTCTTCAATTTTTCGATTTGCAATTTTCTAGTTTTCAATTCTAAATTTTTCCGATTTTCAATTCCCAGTTTTTCGTTTTTCAATTTTTCGATTACTCTCCAACTTTTCAGTTTCGCCATTTTTAATTTAATTTTGTTCAGTTCTTCAGTCTTCCAATTTTTTGGTTTTTCGATTTCGTTATTTCTTTTTTTTTAATTCTTCGTCTCAATTACTCAGTAATTTATACGATTTTTCAATGTTTCAATTTTAATTTTTTTGTTTCTTCAATTTTTTGATCTGCAGTTTTCTACTTTTCAATTTTGAATTTTCCAATTTTTCAATTTTACAATTTTGAAATTTTCGATTTCTCAATTACGTGATTTTTAGATTTCTCGATTTTTAATTTTTTTTTATTTGTCAATGTTTCAATGTTCCGACTTTTAGGTTCCTAAATTTTCCATTTTTTCAATTTTTCGACTTTACATTTTTTCGACAATTTTTTTTTTAATTTTTCGATTTTTCAGTTTCTAACTTTTTTAATCTTACAATTTTGCATTTTTTCCATATTTCGATACTTTAATTTTTCGATTTTCAGTTTCTTGATTTTTAATATTTCGATTTTTCAATTTTTTGTTTCTTCAATTTTTCATTCTTCAATTAGCAATTTTATTATTTTTATTTTAAATTTTTCGATTTTCAAATATTTAAATTTTGTTTCTTCAATTTTTCGATTTGCAATTTTCTAGTTTTCAATTCTAAATTTTCCGATTTGTAATTCCCAGTTTTCCGTTTTTTAATTTTTCGATTACTCTCCGACTTTTCAGTTTAGCCATTTTTAATTTAATTTTGTTCAGTTCTTCAGTCTTCCAATTTTTTGGTTTTTCAATTTCTTTATTTCTTTTTTTTTAATTCTTCGTCTCAATTTTTCAGTAATTTCTACTATTTTTGATGCTTCAATTTTAATTTTTTGGTTTGTTCAATTTTTCAATTTGCAGTTTTCAATTTTAAATTTTCCAATTTTTTATGATTTTTTTAATGTTTCGATTTTTAATTTTTCAATTATTCAATTTTACAATTTTGCAATTTTCGATTTCTCAATTACGTGATTTTTAGTTTCTCAATTTTTAATAATTGATATGTAAATTTTTTCGGTTCTTCAATTTTCCGATTGTGACTTAACCTGATTTTTCAATTTCTTGGTTTTCAATTTTTCAGTAATTCGATTTTTAGTTTTTCGATTTTTCCATATTTTCAAATTTTTGTTATTTCGGTTTTTCAATTTTTCGTATGTTTAATTTTACGACTTGCAATGTTCTAGTTTTCAATTTAGAATTTTCCAATCTTTCGTTTGTTCAATTTTATGATTTTG